AATAGGATTACAATGGACGGACGTTTGATGATTGGCATCGACCCAATGGGCTAGAGGGCTTCTTTCCTTGCTGTGAAAACTCTACGACCCTCAAATTTTAAAACTGAGATGTGGTAAGATGTATACTTAAACTGATCCATCCACTGCTAGGTTGTGAATGAGTTCAATGGTCATGGTTTAAATAACCACAAACCATTACAGCCTTGATTCAAACGTGGACAAAAGAGCTGAATTCCAGAAGTGAGGTGAGAGTGACAACCCTTGACATCAAGGCTGCATTTGATCCAGTGTGGCATCAAGGAGCCCTAGCAAAACTGGAATCAATGGGTATTGGGGGAAAACTCTCCAGTGGTTGGAGTCAGATCCGACACATAGGAAGATGGTCATGGTTGCTGGAGGTCAGCTCCAGGACATCTCTGTGGGAGTTCCTCAGGGCAGTAACCTAGGCTCAACTATCTTAAGCTGCTCCATCAATGACCCTTCCCTTCATCATAAGGTCAGAAGTGGGGGTGTTCGCTGATGAATGCATGATGTTCAGCACCATTCATGACTCCTCAGACACTGAAGCAGTCCGTGTCCAAATGCAACAAGATCTGGACCATACCCAGTCTTGGGCTGTCAAGTGGCAAGTAACATTTGCACCACACAAATGTCAGGCTATGACCATCACCAATAAGAGACAATCTATCCATTGTCCCTTGTCATTCAATGGTGTTACCATCACTGAATCCCCCACTATCAACATCCTGGGAGTTATCAACTGGACTCACTACATAAGCGCAGTGGTTACAAAAGTGGGTCAGAGGCTAGGAATACTGCAGCAAGTAGCTCACCTCCTGACTTCCGAAAGCCTGCCTACCATCTACAAGGCACAAGTCAGGAGTGTGATGGAATACTCCCCACTTGCCTGGATGAGTGCAACCCCAACAACATTCAAGAAACTTGACACCATCCAAGACAAAGCAGCCCGCTTGATTCGCACTGCATCCACAAGCATCCACTCCCTCCCCCACTGATGCTCAGTTGCAGTAGTGTGTACTATCTACAAGATGCACTGCAGAAATTCACCAAAGATCCTTAGACAGCACCTTCCAAACCCACAACCACTTCCATCTAAAAGGACATGGGGAGCACATACATGGAAGACCACCACCTTCAAGTTCCCCTCCAAGCCACACAGCATCTGGAAATTTATCGCCGTTCCTTCACTGTCACTGAGTCAAAATCTTGGAATTCCCTCCCTAATGGCATTGTGCGTTAACCCACAGCAGGTGGACTGCAGCAGTTCAAGAAGGCAGCTCATCACCACCTTCTCAAAGGCAACTAGGGACAGGTAATAAATGCTGGCCCGGCCAACGACACCCACATCCCACAAAATGAATAAACTTTAAAAAAGGTCAATGTCAAAGATTCTTACATGGCATTTTTTTTACACTTTTCTTGTTGTGCATAAAGTTCGTATCTCAGAATAACTAAAACATATCAGATAGAGACCAAATATCTATTGAAATGTTTCCATGAAACAGATCTGCTAAACAAACAGAACAATGTACAAATTAAAAATCCTTCACAGATTATATTCCAAACTCAGGGGAGGCGATGGCCTAGTGGTATTATCGCTGGACTGTTAATCCAGAGACCAGATAATGTTCTGGGGAATGGGGTTTGAATCCTGCCACAGCAGATGGTGGAATTTGATTTCACTAAGTATCTGGAATTAAGAATCTAATGATGACCATGAATCCATTGTCGATTGTCAGGAAAAACCCATCTGGTTCACTAATGTCCTTTAGGAAAGGAAACTGCCATTCTTACCTGATCTGGCCTACATGTGACTCCAGACCCACAGCAATGTGGTTGACTCTGAACTGCCCTCTGGGCAATTAGGGATGGGCAATAAATGCTGCCTAGCCAGTGACGCCCTCATCCCGTGAATGAATAAAGGAAAAAAAAAATGTCCTCACTGGGAGACTAATCAGAGATGAGTGAATTTGAGAATTTGGACAACATATGTTCTGCTTCTGGAGGTGATGAATTTGGAGATAGGAAGGGCAATTAATTCAACAGTGATGTCATCCTGCCTTCACCAGAATTAAGTTCTGAGCAGACAGGCCAATGGTCATAAGGCCCAGGATGTTTGAGGGGCGGTGACTGCAGGCAATGATTGCAGGGGAATAAGCTGCGATCCATCCCCCACCATTGATTCCAATCCTCCTGTGCCATTGTCCTCGCACCCCTCAGCAGCAGAAACCCACTTAACCCCACACCCACATCATTTTCCTCTATCCTGGGTCCTCTGTGATTGTGGCACTCTAGGCATGTGCTTCTTCGAGCAGTAACTGCCTCTGCCATGGCACTACTAGTGCAAGAACTGTTGACCTCAGTTTCATTTGTAGCTTCTACTGCAATTCCAAGGCTTAAGGCTTTCATGGAAAGGCCTAATTATTGCTTCATTACTGTCAGATTGGTGTGTGTTTCTGCAGGCCTTCTCTAGAAGAGACTGCATGGGTCCTTTGCTGGCTCAAGCTGTCTCTCTAGCCAACTGACACGTTCTCTGGTTCCTCCAGAAGATTCCGTCCCATGAATCAAGAGATATTGTCCAGTGAAGGTGGAGCTAACTCTACACTTAAGATTTAGTAAAGATGTGGAAGACCTTTGGAAATCAGAGCTATAATTTTCTGACCCTTCAATGGATGGAAGATGTGTTGTCCTATGCATCTTATTCGTGCCTGAAACCCCTCATGGAAACAGAAATATGGGCAGCTTTACTAGGGATATTGTGAATGCTCATTGTTAGGCTTTCCCTTTTTTTGATTGATTCTGTTACTTGGAAGGAGAGATGCAATTAGAGGTTTTTAGCTTATTTATGTTTTATGATGTTACATATTTATATGATATTATATGCTTATTACTGCCATTTGTAATTGAATCTGCAAACTTTAATCAGAAAATCCACAAACTTAAACTAAAAGCTTAAAGAAAGAGAAAGCATTGTGAAGAAAAATGATGTTCTGTTTAATTGTAAAATTCATCTTATTGTTGTTTCATTTGGATTTGACAGGTGCATCAGCATTGCTTGAAGAGCAACTTCCCCAAGAGATTACAAGTGAACTGTTTATAAATGAAATATTGGGGTTTCCTCAGGCTTCAACTTGTGTTGAAGATGCAGCTATTCCTACAGCTGCACCAACATAAACACAAGCTAAAATGTACTTTTCCTATCAAATAATTTGCATTCCCTGATTCATTTTAGTTTTCATAATCTCTTTGTTAAATGACCAGAGTTTACTGTTTGATACTTATTTTTAAATTAAAAATATGAATAATTATTCTATTTGTGATGGCTATTCTTAAAGCTAGGGGGATGTTTGCTGATGATTGCACAATATTCACCACGATGTGCAATTCCTCAGGTACTGAAGCAGTCCATATGCAAACATAGCAAGACCTGGATGGTATCCAAGTTGGGTTGACAAGTGGCAAGTAATGTTCACGACGCACACCAGCTTCAGGAAGAGAGAATCTAACTATCTTGACATTCAATGGCATTACCATTAGTGAGTCTTACCCTAACAATATCCCACACATATTACCATTGAGTGGAAACTGAACTGAACTAGCTATATAAATACTATGGCTACAAGAACAGGTCAGAGTTTAGGAATCCTACAATGAATAACTCACCTTCAGGCTCCCAAACCTATTGACCACCCATTGACAAGGCACAAGA